ACAGATTTCGACACCACTTCTCAGAGAGATATTTAATATGAAACCCAAAAATTGTGTCCACTTTTAGTTATTATTGAATTTACTGTCAATAACTGTTTAGTTAAATATGTTTTTTAATAGTATTAAAAGTACAATAAAATAAATATCTAATTATATATTGTTTTAATTGAGATTTTATTGAAAATTTCTTAATTTTTTAAATAACTTGTGTTTTAAAGTAATATATCTCTAAATATGACTGCAAATGATTGAAGAGGTCTTTGAAACACAAATATGTCAGTTAAGCATCGCTTTCATACTGAACTCGTGGCTCACAATCACACGATCGGGAAATGAGACATTCATTTCTTCCATCCTTTGGATTAGTTGTCTCTTGACTTTTGGCAACACATCCAATCGAAATACTCGCCGTCTATTGGCCAGCGTTTTGGTCAACTTTACCTAGTTGTGAAGCTAATCTAAACATATGTAGCTGTGTTATGAATCGGCTAGCTGTGCTAACTTGTGAAGGTCGTATACAGAACACTACCCTGGTCAGAATGGTATAGAACACTAGACAGAACCGATAGTAATGTGTTTCAATTGCGAAAGTTTTGACACCCTTTTCATACACCGATGGAAACATTGATTACAGTCCTTTCCGTCCTCACAATCGGTGCGATAATACATGTAATTGAGTGTCAGTTTGCGGACATTTGGAAACATTTGGACGAAATTCAACCATCGATTCGGTGAAGACTTGAGTTCCAGCAGAGTTAGTGTCTTCAACGACACCATTGGTCCCATATGTCTGGCCATCTCTTGAGTATCGAAACACATTGTTTCGATCCATTGTTTTGAATTGTTGCCGATTTCGAGGACTTTTAGATTTTCGAGTTTTACTATATTTAGCGCAAAATTCTTGGCGGAAATGTCTCCCAAACGAGTGTTCAATTGTGTCAAACACTTGAGTCGATCGCAGATCAATGCAAACCATAGGTTCCAGAGATGAATCTCTACAGCATCTAAGAGCCCAAAAATGGTTAGTCTTCTTATTTGCCGACATTTTGCAGTGATAACATCGATGGCCTGACTGTCCATTGATGTGACGCCAATGCATAGGAATCGCATGTTTGTCGGCAAATAGTCTGTGAGTAATGATAGTGTGATGTCTGGAGCCGGTAATCTCAAAGTCTCAACAGTGAGGCCATCCAATGAAGACGTCTTTGGCATAATTGTTGTCAAAAATGACGCACATTTTGAATCATTGCTTCCGATGAATATGTGTTTGACTTTTGAGACGAGTTGTTCCCATTCGGCGATTGTGTGGTCATTGGAGTCAACGACTTCTGTGTCATAAATGCAGAGATTCTTGAGTTGTGGCCACTTCTTGAACATTAGCTCTAATGTTTTGAAACTGATTACAGTTGTGGACAGATATAAAGCCTTTACTCCACAGAATTGGCTGACAATAGACTCGAGTCTATCACCAGATGTCAAATCAAAGCCTTTCAGTGATGTGTTGATCGCTTGTGTGATATCAATGCGATGCCAATCATTCACATCAAAACTCGTGTTTAATAGTCTTGACTCTGAACTCGCCTTCAATTTATTGAATCCAATGCTCACTCTTTTCTTCGTCCGAAGCACTCCTTGTGAACAACGGCTGAACTGTTGTGACACTCGTTGTAATGCAAACACATCTTTGAGATCCAAATCCTTGAATATGAGATACAAAATGTCATCATTCATGACATGAATTGTCTGATCCATAATTTCTAATCCAATCTTTGATTTGTATTTTGTGTCAAATTTTGATTAACTCTTAAGAAATCTATTGATTGAGAATTTTGTAACGGATTTTATGTTAAATATAATTAATTAGTTTTCATTTAATGAATAAAAATTAATATTTAAAAATTTAATTGTATTATACGTTCAGTAATTCAATTCAATTGCAATACTATTGTTAAGTATTGCGAGAATTAACACAAATATATAACAAATCAAACAAAATAACAATTATTTAACTTTTGTTTTATTTGTTTTTGTATTTCATTTTCATTGCAAAACAGGAATCGTTTGAAAGCATGAATTGAATGCAATTCTTAAAGATCTGCTCTTCATTTCCATCTGCGAAGACATCACTTCAATAGATGTCTAAACAGTTTTCACTCTTTTATATCACATCTAATGCTGTGATTAATAAACACTCAAATTGTGAACAAATTATAATAAAAATTAATTAAAACTTTTTATTTCATTAATGAATACACTTTTGACACAAATTATGACTTTTTATAGAAATACTAAACTATTTATAAATTATACAAAAAACACATTAAATAACAATTAAAACACTTTTAGTATTAAATCTTTGGATCAATTGTTTGAGTGAAGCGTTCGTTGAGTCCAATAATGGCATCACTTTTGGGATCAAAAACAACATTAAAAGTGAAAACAAAGACAAGAAATGATTGAATACTTAATTGAATCCAATTGTGAGACAAGTCTTGCGGCCATATCTGAGTGTAGCTAACAGACAAGGAGAGCAAATCGTGAGTAAACTCAGTTGTTATTGAGTTTGGAGACAAACTTTCTGTTAAGTGAAAGCCGACTTCAACACCAGTTGAGAAGCTGAGAAGCGCTCTTCACGTGAGTATCGCCTGAATTGATGTCCAAATCGTCCCAAAACTCATCGCTCATGTCATCCATCAGTGAATTGTCACCCAATTTGGTCCCATCGATGGCTGACATCATGTGTTCATCAATGGTTGTAATCATGTCTTCGACGCATGAATTGATGATCTCATCAATGGTTTCATGACTTCTGTCTTCGCGTGAACTCAACTGTGAGTCGAGTTTGCGTTTCAACACAACACTTGACTCAACCGTTGCCTCCATTGGACTCAACACCAGATAATAGTCACCAAAAGTGATCCAAAGGTCAAGTCGTGAGTCAATCGGTGGTGAGTTTGGAAGCGTTGAGTAGTTTTCTGTTCCTTTGGTTCGCGTTTTGAACAATACTTTGAATTAAAGTCAGTCTTCGTCTCAATGTTTGAACTCTTCGTGTCTTTTCGTCGATCACTTGACTCACGTCTGGAATTTCACTCATTGCGTCCATTATTACGCGATTCGAGCGTTGATTCGATTCCGAGAGTCAACTCTTACTCCAAATTATTGCCCACTTTTATAAACAAATCACTCATTCATTCATTCGCTTCAAAAGTTTTGAAATTCAAAATTTGAATCAAAACTAATGTTTGACCGCTAATGCGCTTTCACTGCACAACTCGTATGCACTGCAATACAGCAGAGCTATAGTCAACAACAGTGTAGTGGCTGTGAAGCCAATGGTGTATTGAGTGGTGTATTGCAAGTGAGTTGTAGTCAACACATGTGTTGTTGTTTACTGTTCACGAGTTGACACTATCTTTGGGATCAATTCGAGTGATGATTGAAAGCGTCAACTCTTAACGATGACCACTACTCTCGCGAGTTTGGTGTCCAGCTATCCGTTCATACAATACAGTTGTCTATCGTTTGTCACCATAATTGTCACGTTTCGTGTCTATTGTCAACACTTTGTTTGGACCAAATGCTCGACGAAGACATCATTGAAGGGCAAAACAGTGGTCATCACCGGCGCGAACAGCGGTGTCGGCAAAGAGACGGCCAGACAGTTGGTCCGTAGGGGCGCCCGAGTGGTGATGGGCTGTCGCGACGGCGGCGCCGCACACGAGCTGATCCAACAGCTGACCGCGGAGTTGAAGCCATCGAAGCCCGACGTGGTCTACAAGAACGTGGACTTGTGTTCATTCGCTTCCGTCAAGGAGTTCGCCGAAGACCTGATCCGAACGGAGCCATCGGTGGACGTACTCATCAACAATGCGGCCGTTTTTGGGCCGCCGTTTGGCCTCACAGTCGACGGCTTCGAGACTCAGTTCCAGACCAATCACTTGAGCGCCGCTTTGCTCACCATTTTATTGTCGCCCAAACTGAACACATCCTCTCAATCGGACGCCGATAAGAGTCGTGTCCTTATGATTACGTCCACTCTTTATCGCAAAGGAGTCATCAATGATAACGACTTTCAAAAGGGGTATGAATTGATTTGACGCCCAGTTTTGCCATTGTTTTGATCATTCATTTATGACATGTCTTAAGGTATGCTTCGGTGGATAACTACGAGTCGAGGAAAGCCTATAATAACAGCAAATTAGCGAACCTTCTGTTCGCGCGACGCCTTCACAGCCATATTGTCTCTCAAAATCAGATGATTGATGTCTTGATGGCGAGTCCAGGCATAGTGTGGACTAACCTAAGCCGCCATATGAGGCTCAAGTGGTGGCAATTAATACTTTTGTCGCCATTCGCTGTGATGTTTGTGCGGACACCAAAACAGGGCTCTGAGACACCCGTCCACTGCGCGACCGCACAGCCGCTCATTAGCGACACTCTGTATCGGAACTGTTGTCCACAGAAATGGGACGCAATCGCATCCGATCCACAACTTTGCGATAAAGTCTACGAAATGACGATCAAAGCCATTGAGACATACATTTGATAATCAAATTTTCAAAATACTTAATGTTTGTTGTAATCATTGAGTGATAACATGAATGACTCTATAAACCACTTAAAGCCGTGTTTGAAATTGGTTTCAATGAAAAGCATTTAATTATGGTTTCATTACTATTGTATAGCTTTTGTGTACTTTTAACACACATTATAACGATTTAATTACTTGTAAATAAAAATGTTGCCAACAATTAACGAAATCGCGATATTTTTTTGTGAAAAGTTATGGACTTATTGTTATTTTGCGCGAAGCGTTCAATAATTGAATTTTATGTTCAAAAGTCAATCAAAGTCTGTAAACCGTTGAGTAAACAGCAATTCATTCACTTTCGCTAAAAGAAGCTATTCTTGGATCCGATGGCAGACACACCCCCACCAGCAGAAGGAGCGCCACCCGCTGAAGGAGCGCCGGCTGCCGACGCGACACCACCGCCCGCCGACGCCTCCGCCTCTGCAGACAAAGGCGGCGCCGCCTCTGAGGACAAGAAGGCCTCCGAAGAGAAGAAGGGCTCCGAAGAGAAGAAGGGCTCCGAAGACAAGAAAGAGAAGTCCAAATCCGAATCAAAGTCCTCGTCCTCTTCAGGGAAGAAGAAGGGAAAGGCGAGTCTCGCGGACGCGAAGTTCGGCTTTTTGGGCGCCGGAAAGATGGCCGACGCTATCATCAGAGGACTCATCCAATACGGAAAAGTAGACCCGAAGAAGATCTATGTGGCCGCGAAGACCACCAAAAATCTGGAAATCATTAAACAAAAGGGCGTTCACATCACCAAAAGAAGTTACGACATCTTTGCCAAATACGACTGCGATGTGGTCTTCCTCTGCTTCCACGGCTCTGTCATCAAACAGTGCTTCAAAAGAGGCGGTTCCCGACCCTCGGCTCTCACCACGAACTACATCCCAAACATGAAACACCCGTTGTATGTGTTATCACTGGTGAGCGGCGCGACTCTCAGCCAAATCAAGGGATGTCTTCTGAATCCGGAACACCCGGACAAGTATCTCATTGAAATGCACCGCATTTGCCTCAACACCGCCAGTGCTTTTGGCCTCGGATTGGGTGCCATCGATGTGGAGCCCGACGGCAAGAAGTGCGCGCCGATCGTCAAAGAGGTGTTGTCCACCATTTCGAAGCTCGAGTACATCCCGGAGAACCAGATGGACGCCGCGTGCGCTCTCGGCGGCCATGGATTGGCGTTTGTGTACTATTACATCAACGCTTTGGCTGACGGCGCCTTCAAAATGGGTCTCAATCGGCAAATGGCAACCAAATTGGCGGCCAAAACGGCTCAATGCGCTGCTCTTACTCTTCTGGAGTCCGGCAAACATCCCTCGGAACTCAAAGAAAGCTGCACTTCAGCCGCAGGTCCGGCCACTTATGGCATCCATGTCTTGGACAAAGCGGACGTCGGTTCGGGTGTTTCCGCTGCCATCGAAGGCGCTCACAAACGGGCGAAAGAGATGGCCGAAGAAGTGATCAAATAAGTGAAACGAGACAATCGCTCGAAACCATCGATTGAAAAAAGAAGTTTCAAAAGAGAGATCAAAATTGTTTAATAAAATATCAAATATTGACTAAAACATGAATAGTATTTTTGTATCCAAACTCTCATACATTAATAAATTGTTTCATTCATTCAATCAAATGTGAGTTCACTTTAATGTTAGGAAATAATTAGTAGAAAATAGCAGTCATTAAAGTTCACAAACACTTCATTTTATTGTTTTGCAAAACATTTCATTTGATAAACAATTTTATAAACTTTAAAAATAAGAAAAACAAAGCAATCAACCAATGAATACAAGTAACAAATCATTTAAGTACACAAATGAATAACTTTTAATGAAAGAGTAATCCAATTGGTATTTGGTTTAAGAACCAACACCAGAAGAGATTCTTCGGCACCACTTCATAGACTAAAACAAAACATAACACTATATCTAGTTTTTTATGGCCGAAGAAGAGCCCCGTCTTCCTCTTCGTCTACGAATGGAAACGAAGAGTCGTTTTCCGTCAAAAGAGCGACGTTTTCATCGACCGATTCATCTGAAGAGTGACTTTTCTTTGGAGACAAGAGTCCAGTAGAAGAACTCTCGTCTCGACTTTGCTCAACGATGGAAGAGCTCTCTTCCTCCGCGAGCGCCACATCTCTGCCATCAGTCGTGTCTTTCATCGCAATCTCTTCCGTCTGCAGGAATCCGGCGCCGCGACGAGACTTACGGAAGCGGAATGTCTTCCGACTCTGAGCTTTCTGTCTCTGCAACCGGTGTTTCAAAGCTCTCTCTTCGTCCGGACTGTCCGAACGCGAAGCGCCCGAACCCTCGCCCGACAATTTGCGAGCGATCGCCGACCGAATCTCCTGATCGTCTTCAGTGGTCACGCCTTCTGTAAGTGTTTCTCCGCTCATCGATTGGGAACCGTCTTTCGGTCGATCTTTTTTGGAGCCTTTCTTCACGTGAAGAGTGGACTTTCGGAACAGTTTGGGCTCCGAAAGAGTGCTTCTGTGCTCCTCTCGACTCCCTGTGGGCGACGCCTCCTTCGGGTCCGGATATGAGGTCCGTCTGAGGAAGCCTTCCATTACTCGTTTGCTATCACGCGATAACTTAACGCTCAGATTCCGCGGCGGAAACATTCGCTGCTCTGAGAGTCTGAAACTTAATCCTCTAAACAGAGAGGGTTTGGACGAAGTGGAGGGCGTTTGGGGCGCGTCTCGTGTCGTCTGAGGAGTGTTTGAATTGGAAGAAGAAATGTTTGACAATTTTGAAGCCGAAGCAGCCATTTGTGTGAACGCAAAGCTCAGTCGATGTCCTTCGGGTCGCTCACCGCTCGACGCGTCGGCAACGATGGACTTGCGGTCGTCGACCGGCGGCGCGTTCTTTCGCGATATCAGTTCTTCCCTAAGAATTCTCATTTCCGACATTAAAGCGACTAAAAGTTGGCCTAAAATATGACAAATATATTAGTATTTAAGTCAAAACACACGTTGTTTTCAACCGACCCTTTGATCGCGCGAATGGAAGTCCTAATCCCGTCATCTTTTCCCGAATCTGTTGTTGGTATCCATACTCGATGTCATTGTCGCAGATCTTTACCAGATATTTGCATTTAATGACAGGGAAAAGGAGGAGAAAGAGTGGCGTTCGATAAGTGACCACAAATTCAAGGAAATTCCACAATTGAATCCCTCCCTGAGTCTTGTTGGCCAACTCACGTATAGTTCGCGATATTCTGTACCATTCGGTGTTCAGTTGCCTCTCAAAGCAAACCATCATTATCTTGAGGCCTATACCACACAATCAAAAGAGTAAGAATATGAACAAAAACATAAATACTAGAGTTGCTGACCGAGAAAGCCGACCGCGTGGACAGAATTCTGTGCCATTTGGCCCGAAGAGGAATCGGAACCTTTGATAGGTTTGGTGGGAATCGGTTTCAAAGTATTGAGAATTACGGTAAGTGTGAAATTAATGTCGCATTGCCTTAGTTTTGGCACTTCTTTGAGACCGGAACTGATGCGGACACACATGGGATAAATCAAATTCATTAAATAGATTTCGCTTTTCTCGGGCGAAGAGAAGGCTCCCAAACACACGGTCTCCAGAGTCTGACTTTCGCCCAACTGAAGCATTTGCATCGCTATCAGCCGAACGGCTACTGACGTGAAGCCGGGCGGCGATGACTGCGAGAGAGCTATGGCCCACGTGGGCACTGACGCCGTGCTGTCCACCGGGCCGTGGGTTTGATCGCCCAAAACGATGTTCTGACAGACGGAGATGAGTGACTTGAGATGTGGCAGATGTACGATATAGGGGTGTTTGGCGAACGTCAAGTACACGCCTTTGAGCAGCCGTTTGGCCGCTTCCCAATCGGTTGACCGCTTTATCGCCGACTTTTTGGCAATTTTGGTGAACGTCTTGTCGAGTCGTCTCAAGACCATTATGAGCGCCGGACGCATCTGTTCCTGACGCCACTCACTGTTCGGCAATATCTCGTTCATATAGCGGACGAGACCGCGACACGCCATCGTCTGTGGGTCATAGGGAGCCATCTTCAACAGGCTGTGCGCGATCTCAGCCAATCGGAGGTGACTCTTCACGTCCAATAGTTCATATGTGGAGCCCTTTTGGTGCAAATCCGGCAACTTTTTGCTCAGATCCGCCAATCGGGCGGTACTTCGGCTCAAGAATTCGGCCACAACTTTGAGCAATACATCGCGCGGACGTCGAAAGTCTGTCCGCACACTCTCGCCGTCACTATTGTCCGAAGAGTACTCTTTTCGGGCGCGAGAGTAGTAGTTATCGGACACATATCTGCTATAAAAAGATGGTAATATTAATTGAAAGTGTTATTGCATTCAATTGGTTCTCACTTTGAATGGCTGTCGTCATCGATCTCTACGGGCGGACTGTAGGCCCCTTTGGAGGCATTCTTAATGCTCGAACCGCGCAAATCGATGGCCCGTTGAGGACCAGTGAAGTTACGGGTCAGCGCTTCCGAGTTGTAAATCAAAGTTTTCATACAAACCGACACGTTATGAATCACTTGAAGTTCAGTGCGCGGACCGCCCGGTGTCTCCTTCTTCGTGGTCAGCGTTTGCATGTGTTTCAGATGTAGCGGAAGAATCGCCTCCAATATGGTTAGCATTTGATGGCCGCGTTCGGTGTCCGCCGCGTACGAGACAACTGTCACACACAGAGAGATGGCGTCCAACACGGAAAGTGTCTCGGCGTCCATTTGGTAGCAAAAGTCCAGCGCCTTTAATATAAGATAATTAGTACAAAGAATTGGGACCCAAAACAGTGACAAACCTTTAATGGTTTCTCTGCGTCGACGAGTTCCAGAATATCCAACGGATCGACAATATATTGACCCAAAGACTGAAGCAATTGAAAGAAAGCTCGCGGTTGTACTTTAGAGGCGTCGCCATAATTGGACACAAAGTCGAGGTCGAGTATCGGCGCCACCGCTCCGAACATCTGGAGGACGAATGGCTTTCTGTGAAGAATGTAAAACTGTTTGCAAACGAATTCAATTGTGCGACAGAGAAGACCATTCGTCTGATGGTTGGAATAAATGCGACAAATGGTGGGAATGATCAACAGATAGCCGTTGGCGGCGAAGATATTGCGGAACTGATGGGCGGCGTTGATATACGTGGCCATACATAGCCTCAACATCGATGAGTTCTCGCAGTGAAGTATTAGCGAACCGTTCACTACGTTTAGGAAGAGGTGAATGTCCGCCGATTGGGCGAAGAACCCATTGGTGGCCTCAAACATTCGGGCCACGAGTTTGACCCAAACAATCTTGTGAAGTGTGTCCATTCCCAACACCTCTTGACCCGTCTCTCCCGAATACAGACTGAAGTTTGCCTCCAATGCTTTGCGTGGAAATGACGGCAATTTCATGAGCTCTTCGTGAAGAAAGAGTACTCTTTGAATGCCGAGGAATGAAGACTTAATTAACGATAAACACATCAATGTCTGAAAGAATGGAAGTGAGAGATAATTAGTGATTAATAGGGGAAATGAAGAGACAAATACTTTTCCCAATTCCACGAATTGAAGAGTAAATGCCTGTCTCTGGAGTCGATCGAAGGCTTCGTTGGGATTCATGTGAACCAAAGAGATTTGCGGATATTGTGAGCGTTTGAAGAAATAAAAGTCCCGAACGAATGCATTCAAGTTATGCATTTGGTCTGCGATTGGATTAAAAAAATCAATTAAAAGCAAGTGAAATCTTGGAATAAAACAAGAAATGAAAAGTACTTGTCTTGGAATCGACGAGAAAGTACTCGTTTTGCTTTGAGTCGTCGATTCCGAAAAAGTCGAGACTATCGGTCAGAATCTGCGAGAACTGTGTGTCTTCATGGATGGGGAACTGGGATGGGATGACAGAGGCGTCGGGTCCGTGAACTATGATCTTCTTAGCCGACGGCACGTTAGCTGTGATGAGGAGAGAGGCGTCGCACTGCTCTTTGCGCAGAACCTGTTTGAGATCCTTGAGGAAGAGGCCGTGAACGTTGGGCACCACAAGCCATAGTACGGACAACACTGTGGCGATCACTTCTTGCGAGTTCTCCACGGGTGTCCTCACGTGATACATCACGAAACCGATCAGATAGTTGTATAGCGTGAACGCCGCCTGAGCCGGAAGGCGGGGCACGAAACGGATCAGTCGGCGCAGGATCTGAAACGTGTCCCAATGTTTGTCTCGAGTGAGACGCTCGAGAAAGTGACGCAAGAAGAGCGCCGAGTCTTCCACCAGACAATGCCAGACAACTTTGAACGCCACCTCATATACGGCGCTGCCCTCGGAGTTGACCTGAGGGTCGTCTAAGAGGTTGATGATTGTGACGGCCGCTGAACACAGAGTCGATGGAAACACCGTTTGTGCCAACTGTGCCAAAGAGAGGACAATTATTAAACACGAGAAGCAAATGAAAAAAAACAAAATTTATATCAAAACCTGAATGTTATGAATGGGTATTCGTTCGGACATCTCGTCGTCTTCCTCTTCGTGTTCATCGACGGTGTGGAAGAGCGCCGGTTCATAGGCTGCCTGTAATTGGATGGGAACCATTGAGATGCGATAGTTCTCACGCTCGTCTCGCAGTTTGTCCTCTTCTTCTTGCAGTGCTTTCGTCACTAACTCTATCTGTTGTTTGCGTCTGGTTTTGGTCGCCGCCACAAACGACCGTTGAATCGTCGGCTCTTGGCTTATGGTCACCGCTTCTTCCACTTTGGATTTGGTGACCGGCATATACGCCGGATCCACGACTGGGATCGACTCCAACGCTATGCGCGGCGACGGAAGAGTGAACTCAATGGCCGGCGGCGGCACTTTGAGGTACAGATGCGCCCCTTCTTCCAGTCGCGGCCAACACTGGAAACGATTGCTCCAAACCTTATAGAACTTATTGATGGCCAGAGTTCGCCGATTAGGGCTCTCGTGATTCAACTCGCGCTCAAATAAGTCGGACACCAGTTGTGGACATTTAAGGGCGCAGACAATGAGGGCCACAGCGGCCGCCGAACTCAACTCCTGGTCGTCTTCGAGGATCAGATTCCAAGACATACCGAGAAGATCGTCGAACTCAGGGATCGGCAATACGAGCGCCCCCTTCAACAGCATAGATATGGATGCGCTGAACGGACTCTTGACGTGTGAGTGAACATACTTTAGGGTCGGATTTTCCTCGCGCTTAATGAGCGCCTTATTGTTGGCCACTTCGACGAATGTCTTGCGCGGGTCCTCCGACTCCTGAGGTCCGGCCTCGACGTCCACGTTATGCGCCAAATAAGTGGTCGAACTGTGGATGGAGTGGTGGCCGCGTTCGGTGTGGCCGTCGACGCAACGGTCCATATTGTGTCCGACGGAGATCTTGCGCCGTATGGGAGACGACGGACCGGCGGTTACGATCTTTTTCAACTTCTTCTCCTTTTTGGCCGCGTCTTCCTTGTCCTCAAAGATACGCAAAGACACGAGTTGTGGTCTCGTCGACGAGTCTTCGGCGTAAACTTTGTGAACGGCTTTCATAAGTCTGGATGAGCTTCGCATCACTCGTCGGTAACAGTTGTGCTGACAGTACTGTTGATGCGAACAATTGTACGAAACGGCGGAGTTTATTGTGGACATGATCTTAAGCCACGGGATATTTGTAATCAGTTCCGAGTCGTCCGCTTCGAGAGCGTCGCTCGGAGTGTCGTTTCCCTCGTCGGACAGAACGCCCGGCGATTCGTCGCCTAAAATATAAGACAATAATCAACAAAATGAACAAAACATAGCAAACACCCCATACCTGAGACCCTCTCCGAAGTGTCCGATCGCTCGGATATTCCGCTCACTTTGCGTCGCGAACGCAATGAATCCGATCGGCGAAGAATTGAGTGCTTTTGGGTGTCGTCGTCCTCGTCCTCGACAAGAGTTGACGACCGATGTTTGCCCGCACTCTTCCGATCGGCGCCTTTCTTCAACTTAATGGACCTCCTTTTGAAGCTCCCGTGACCGCTGCCTAGTGCTTTTGGGTGTCGTCCTCGTCCTCGACAAGAGTTGACGACCGATGTTTGCCCGCACTCTTCCGATCGGCGCCTTTCTTCAACTTAATGGACCTCCTTTTGAAGCTCCCGTGACCGCTGCCGCCCGTCGACCGGCGCAACAAATGCGGTCGACCCGCGAGTCCGATCTGAGACTGGCGTCTCTTATCGCCGCCGGCGTACAGTTCGTCGGCTCCCGAAACACTGCTCGTCGACTCTTCCTCGCCGTCCGCCTCCTGGAGGACAAAACTGATTCGTCTGTCGCCCAAACTCGGCGCGTGACTGAACCCATCCATAGGCCCGATGTTGGCTACGGAAGAGGTGTTTGATTAAAACACTTGCAAACAAAAGCAATAGAAACAATGTCTCACTCAAAGCCATAGACCAGCGACGGTTAGCGGTGACAGTCTTCGGCTCAAAAGTGGATCCGCGCTCTCGTATGGAAGACCGAGAGCTTCTGGAGGGCAGGTATTGATGGGTTTCGCGGAGAAAAGCCGTGATTTCGTACAACAACTGACACGCGACCAGTTTTAGGGCAAACGGACACTCATTGCCCGTTTGGTTAACGAAAGCCTCGTCCAGAAAGTCTTCGTCCTCGTCGTCGTACTTGAGTTGTCGTCGTTTACTGTCGTCCGTCATATTTGGCAACGATTTCTCGGTATTGATCTCATTCTGGAGGATCTCTTGCATTCTCGCGCCCAACATCTCCGCCCACTGATAGAACGCACGGCCGGCCGACCGCTGGACAACGTTAGAGGCGCGGCCTTTGATGGCCGACTGGGAACCGGCTCTCATCGGACCCGACGGCCGGAAGATATTGAAGTTATGGCGCATCCATTGCGGCCAAAGACCGCGATTACAGCGATGGACGAAATGCGCGCACTCGAGGTAAAAGGTGGCTCTGGCGACGATCGGCGCCCGGATGTCGAGCATCGCCGCGATTAGAGGCGCGTCCGGAAGCGTTCCCGGAGTGCACGACTCCAACAGAAACTGGAAGCGAATCATTCCGTCGCGAATCACTGGAAGCGATACGAGTCGTGACTCGCGTATCAAAACCATATCTCCGTCGCCGGCCGTCCGGTCGAAGTCAAAAGAGTTCCGTCGCGAGAGATCCGGCGTCTCCTCGAATGAGCCGTGTTTTGACTTACTCTTCCCGAACACAAACCTGAACTGATCCTCCATTCTCTTCCTCGCCTTCCCGAACGTCGAGTGCGTCGGCTTTTGACCACCACTTCCGCCCGCAATGGGCGCCCCTTTCACTGGCGTTCGGCTGAAACTGCCTCTTCTGACCATCTTTTCGGTCGACGGTTCGGATGACGTGACAAAACCAATATTACCGCCGCCGTTGTCCAGCAGAACAGCCGATTCCGGATGCAATGACTCTGGCTTACCGCCCGGTTTGAACCAATTGGTGAAATTGAATCCCTTTCCGCCCTTCACCTGCTTTTGGATCATAACAACCGCGTCGTCGTCCGTAATGGACAGTCGAGGAGAGGCAGCCCTCACGCGTAGAGCACCTGTACTGCTGTGGCTTTGGCTCAGACCAGTGCCCGGAAGCGGCCAATCGTTGAGCAGTTGAGTTTCGCGCTCGTCGTGTATACTCTGACTGCTGGCCGCGGCCTTCAGTCCCGACGTTGAGAAGAAAAACTTCTTGAATAAGAATACTGAGCGAAATAGCCAGAGAAGCCAGACTCAGCCGCTTATGACTGGTGAAGACCGGAGAAGCCAAGCCGCGTCTCGGCTGCCTGAGACTCACAGGAATTTCTGTAGCAATTGTGCGCTATCTATGAGTCCACTTAACGCCACTTTTCGGAAAGCGCCGCCGTGTGTGTCCCTAAGACCACATATTTGGGATCAGTTGCGAAACTTTTAGTTTTGATTTCATACCTGACATAAGAGACGAATTGTCTTATTTCACAGTAAAGGGACATATTTTCTTGAAGTTTCAATTCTTTGGTCATTCGTGTCAATCGTGTAATCAATGATTTCAATATGCAGTTTATTATAACGCCTTCAATGCCTTTAGTAATAGAAAAAATGAATAAAAAAAAGTTATCAAAAGTTAAAGAAATAAAAAACAAACCTTTAGAACCGGTTTTCCCAAAACCGGCGCCGAAGTTGTTTGAATAGCCGCTCCGAGCGCTCGTCTCAAATGACTGTTGGCTTCCGATTGATATCGGATTATTGGACTGCTTTCGCGTCCAATTGTTATGCGTTTCGATACAAAAGCCGAGATTAGGCACCTTCTATAGCTAATAGAGGACTTGTGAGGAAGCCCAATGGTAAAGAAGCTCTTTTGCTGACTTTACACTAAGGCTGCTCACCATATTCATCCTGTTTCACTGGCTTTACCGCGCGGAGTGGTGTACGGCTTCGTCCTCGCGATGCCCTTCACCGCAGCCGTGAGGACAGCCTAACTGTTTGATCAGACGTATTAAAGTGTCCATAAAGAGGTGGTGAACCGATAGCTCTTCGTTATCCGATTTACTGATTCTGATAATCGGCGGCTCATCGATGGCTCCGCCGGGTGTCGAAGCGGTAAGACCTGACTGCCCGCGGAGCTGTAGCTACCCACCCTATTTACACCCGTTTCGCGGGTATAAATACTCAGCTCAGTCATAAAGCACTTACCTAACCGTTTGCCCATCTCTTGTCTGGCTCAGAAAGTTCGCGATGGAGTGGACAGCTTTCAAAATGACCACAAGACTCAACTGACCGTTTTTGGTGACATAGTTGGTGGACGCGGGCGCCTCTGTTATGGTCTCCGTGTAATAACTAATGTCAGAATCGGTTTGACTTCTTGTGATACCGATTTGGGAGTAGTTGTAAACGGACTCCTCTTTCGGCGATTCGGTGTTCTCTGCGTTCATAAAGAACTGAATGGAAGTAACGGGTGAGTGCTCTGTGATCGTGATTATAGGGAACGGAACCGAATAGGTCTGAGAGGCCGACTTTTTTGGCGACTTTTTACTCTCGGGCGCCAAATATCGGTTCGAACTCTTGGACGAGTCGGACGCGTTGCCGAAGCGGTCGAGTATGAGATGCAACGATGGCATCGACTTTCCCCTATGCATCTCAGACTTGACAGTAGCCGCGCGGCCGTCTTCGTAGCGCCCGATCGCCGATTTCGGTCGCGGCGGCGGAGGAATCAACTCTTTAGACCGAAATATTGAGTCGCTTTTGTCTTTTTGCTTTTGTTTTTTCAATTTGTTGGACACCGAGTCGTCGATGTCTTTAAATTTGTCCAAATTATGCTCTTTATCTGATTTCTCTGTCAAATCACAAGTGGAACCCTTTTTCTGTCTTTTGGGTGACTTTATCTTTTCACTGCCGACGCGTCCGATGGCCGAAGGCGTAGCCGCGCCTATCAATGAGGACAGACCTCCCAGACCTGGAAGTCCTGAGAACGACGATCGGCGCAACTCATGCATTGACGGCGTTTTCGAGGAGCTGTTGAGGGCGTTGTCGTCCAAAACGAGTTTCGGAATTTCCGGTTTACTCTTCGTTTCGCTCGTCGTCTGAACGCAAACCTCTCTCTTCGGTAACGGAAGCGATGAACTCCTGAGTCGTGAGCGGTCTTTGTTAGACATGTCGTTATTGATTGCTTTGAGGCTAAAAAACAAAGTGTTATTTTTCAAGAATATTCTCATATCATATGAAGTACCGGTTCAAAATGAAACTGAGGGCCCAATAGATGCCGTCTTCGAGCCATTGATTAGTGAAGAGACAGCGAAGAACCGCCACATCTAAAAAAGTGGCCATCAATGGGTCGGCCAGTAGTTTGGGCTCCACTTCCCACGCCTTCTTCTCGGAAGCGCTGCTTTTGGTTGGAGTGACCGACTCTTTGCCCTCAATCCTCTCAATGGAAACGCTAGAAGTGGCCACAGTTCTCGCAGATTCTGACCGATAGTCTCGACTTTTTCGGAATCGACGACTCAAAGCAAAACGAGTACTTTCTCGTCGATTCCAAGACAAGTACTTTTCATTTCTTGTTTTATTCCAAGATTTCTAAACGAGTTTCGGAATTTCCGGTTTACTCTTCGTTTCGCTCGTCGTCTGAACGCAAACCTCTCTCTTCGGTAACGGAAGCGATGAACTCCTGAGTCGTGAGCGGTCTTTGTTAGACATGTCGTTATTTATTGCTTTGAGGCTAAAAACAAAGTGTTAAGTTTCAAGAATATTCTCATATCATATGAAATACCGGTTCAAAATGAAACTGAGGGCCCAATAGATGCCGTCTTCGAGCCATTGATTAGTGAAGAGACAGCGAAGAACCGCCACATCTAAGAAAGTGGCCATCAATGGGTCAGCAAGTAGTTTGGGCTCCACTTCCCACGCCTTCTTCTCGGAAGCGCTGCTTTTGGTTGGAGTGACCGACTCTTTGCCCTCAATCCTCTCGATGGAAACGCTAGAAGTGGCCACAGTTGGAGAGCCCAGGAATGGATAGGGAGTGGGTGTAGGGGTTGGGGTTGGGGTGGGTGTGGGCGGCAGTGGCTGACCATTAGAACTGGCCATCGATGGCGTGGGAGTGGACTCACGTTTGGTACCGTCGGAGACGCCGAGGAAGACATCGCCAAACTTAGGAAGCGCTGACTTGCGTTCATGTCTTGTGGCTCTCAATATGTTTCGTTTGGGTTTCACTTGTGCTGTGAAACTCGTTATGCTATCAAAATGTAACATTTCATACGGTTTATAACTTTACACAGAATATTATCACAAAAACTAATAGAGCGAACATGTAATATGTTATATTAATAAATGACCATGATTATTTGGTTTGAACAAATATATTAACATTAAATCTATAGATGCATCCAGGGCAAAATAGTGAATATGCTATAAAATTATCTAAAATATATCATTTAAAAATTGATTTAAGCTCAAAATTTAGTATTGTTCTAAAATGATCTAGTCAGTTTAAAAACAAATAATGCTTACTCTGGATGACCATGCATGAATAAGGGCGTCCATATTTTGTAACCGTTTTCGAGCCGAAAACTGGTCAAAAAGTCCGATTCCTTAAGTTTTTTCATTAACGGCGCGAATAAGTAGATGAAAACCTGTGGACAATATTCGTAACGATTAATTCACACCTTTCGGGACACAAAATCCATTTCCCAATACAAACCTGAAGTGTTGTTACGGGAAGTAAGTAGTGTTCGGGCCGTCGAATGACACCCTCTTCGCACTCGGCGTCCGCACACTCTTCGGACGCGTCCAACAGAATCCAGTGAAGAGTATAGAGAAGTTTGGTCTCCGCGGCCGACAGCTTATCCATTGTGGCGTTGCGTCGGCCGTACAGAAGGGCAGCGCAACAGTGCATTACGTGCGGCAATGCGGCCAAAATCAGACGCCAGCGGCTCTGACAATGAGATTAATAAATGTTTCAACACTTCTTTGATATGATTTTTGAATTTAAAAATTCATTTACAATGCTTTTGATGGCTTCGGTAAGACTCGGCGAGAGTCCGAACTGTATATTCTGGACCAATACCTTCTCAAACGACTTACACGCCTCTCTTTGCTCCATCGCCGCCGCGTCCTGTAGTCGACTGATCTTCGGCCGAATGAATGGACTGAAAGATAATATTGCGTTAAGATTGACACCCAATCCGTTTGATAGCAGTGTCTGTCTCATCAATACCTGGTTTGGCGCCACAGGAATGTCTGGATGGGTAGAGGAATGGACATGTCATCGATGTCCTCATCGCAAGAGTCCTCACTCCTGCGTTTCGGCATTTTTACCAATCAATTGATCACTCCTTTGGTCGCCATAAAAGATGTTTATATAGACTGACAGATAGTCTTATAATAACAACCGAATAGAGTCTGCGTTCGCTCTCATCGATCGATACTTTGGTTTGCATTTCTTATAATTCAAATGTTTTGTCAATTTCGCAAATATTAACCAAAATTGCTCTCAATTTAGATAGAATTTACATAATATTTAAAATCTTATTAATAAATCAACGATAAATATGCGAAATATTCTTATGATTACAATACGATTGGTTTGCGCTTTAATTATACAATTTATATCAATTAGTGATCATTTTGTGAATCGTTTTTATTTATATCAAAAAAGCAATTATAAAAAGTTAATCATTTGTGTATTGAATAAGCATTTAATAGAGATATAAAATTGAAACTCAAATTACATATAGAATTTTAAAAACAACAAAATTAAGACATAAAATGCAGTTTAAAAATTTTGGCAATAAATTGAACGCAAAAATAAAGTGGACTTTCAATCGATTCATACATTTAGAGAACTGTCGCGGAAATAAAATAGTGAGCAAAAAGATAATAAACGGATTTCAATGGTCTTGAGTTTAGCACTTCTGGAGATCGTGTCTTCGCAGACATTGTTCAATAAGCGTTTGCCTTCGGGAGTGAGTAAAACGCGTTCACCAATGAAATAAAAACATTCAAACACCAGTGTTTGCAGCGCCGGTAGTCTTGCGATGCCATCCAAACCATTGCGAGGGAGAGTCAGAGTTTGAATGAATAGGTAGTGAAGACGTGGCCAATGGTCACCAAAAATGTTGAGCAATGGATCGCTTGAATAAAGCGAACGGAGAGACAAATGCGTTAATCGGCGGCACTTCTTCAACGGATCCAAAAACGTGTCATCCATTGTCCACTCGAAGTTATAAACGATACTTAAATCAAATCGTTTTAATCGCCGAAAACTCTTCAACGAGTCTAATGTGTGGCCATTGAGTGGCACTTGAATTGAGCGCACCTTAAGTGTCAAACATTGCAGTTGTGGGCACTTCTGGCCAATCGGTCGCAAACACTCGTTCAGTGTGTTCTGGCCCTCGAATAACAACAAATTGAGCGACAATTCCCGTAATTGTGGTAATCGTGACAAATGTGCGGCCATTTCGACGATAGTGTCGTGACTTCCGTTATATACGAACTGCATTTCGGTATTCATTTCCTTATAACTTCTTAGCGACTGATTTTGGGTCACGAATGCCGACAAATGCTGATTATCTTCATCTGAATTGAACGGCACTTCAAATGTCACTAAATTCTTGACCAACAGGTGGTCTAAGGTGTCGGAGAAGATATCGGACAACCACTGGACTCGTAATCGAGACAATCGGCGACAACGTCTTAGCCTTTGATTATCCTCTTCAGAGATATCATCGATTCTCGTGACCAGTGATCCGATCTCTGGTAGCTTTTCGTAAACATTTCGATCATAATTGCAGTAAATGTGTCGCAAATTGGGGCCAAACAAGTCCAACACTTCGGCAGTTTGTGCCACACATTCGCTCTGAATTCCTCTTAAGTCAATGGTGTGAATGTGGGGACACTTGCCGTGAATTGTGGCCAACAATCCAATGTTAGAGACTTTGATCCGCGATTCCGTTGACTCCGTGTCGTGAATACTGATAGCGACCACACTCTTGAAGACAGTCCTCCGGAACTGTTTGGACACACATTCGTAGTCCAGACGCTCGTCGAGCGATAGGTACGGCAGTATGAGTCCACACAAGTCATCACCGAAGCGATCAAAAGAGTCCTTCGGGTATGTCTTGCGCTAAAAATATGAGACAAAAAAGACAATTAAAACTCAATGAATACTCAATTGTTTGTCAAACAATACCTGTTTTTTGACGACAACTTCTTCGGTGCCGTTTGTCTCCGCAACCGATGCCATCGTTGGTCTGGTCTTCGAGTAGATCTGTGGTCAAAACAAAAGACAATTTAAACAACAATTCAAACCTAATAAACAGTCAATTATTTGTCACTCAAAACCTGATGCAAGTCTTCGGTGTCTAATAAGTTGGGATCCAATGAAGAGATTGTTTGCAATCAACCGTTTGTTAAGAAAATAGTTTTTCTGTTAAGAAATGCCAACAAATTCTACAAAACTATCAAATGTTTAAAATTAATTACAGTTTAAGTCACGAGACGTGTAATGAAAAGTGCACTCAATTTGTGAAACTAATCATTAATTCAATTGTTTAATGACTTTTGGTTTGCATTTCACGCGTTTTGTGTTGTCTTTACAGTTAGTGAACATCTATTGATATGAAAACGCGTTAACTGTTAACACTATGAAAGCCGGCATTCATTTGTCAGTTAACCCGTCGGATCAGTCATTGTCGACAACTCATCCATTCATTAAATTCAGTTCTTTACGCCATTCACTGTCAGACTATGACAACAAAGTAATTATAATTAAATACATGGTATAAACAACTAATTAAACAATAGTTTCAGTAATTGAATCGATGTTTATTAAGAATCACATAATAATTGCAATATCTTTTAAAACATGAATTTAAGAAAACAATTGAATCGATCAAACATTCAAAAAACTGTATCAAAAAGACATAGCATTTGATGCGAAAGAAGTGTTATTTAAAAAACTAAATATAAGACATAATCAAAGGATAATTATTCAAATGATAACTAATTATAATTATAACTAAACCTATGATTACAATCACTCGTCCACTAAATTACAGACAAAAAACTTGATTTTATATATTATGTGTGAAGAAAATTAAACCTAATTATGAAATACAAAAAACAATCAAATCATGTCTTTGAGGAGTCGGTCGGAGTCTTCGTCGACGAGTGACCATCACTACTATCGGCCGGTTTATCGACTGCCTTATCATTAACGGTATCGACGGCTCCGGCGTTGGCCTCCGAGTGGTCTTCGGGTTCTGGAAAGGCGTCGTCGGCGGCGGACTTGTCGTTGGGGTAGAGGTTAGGGTATTGTGTCATACAGTCCTGCATAGCGGCGAACTTCTCCATACATTCCTGGCCTTTGGTCTCCGACTGGGAGTAATGAAAACAACTGAACGCCTCGCGGAACTGATAGCCACACGGGCCCGAAGACATGCCTCCCAGACACGGGCAGTTCCAGTTGATGTCACCATTGGTCAGAATGAGGCCCCGCATCGACTCGTCCACAGTCTCTTCGGCCAACACCACAGTCGACGGCGTCGAGTGATCCTCTGGAGTGGCAAAGATTATCCGATCCTTTCCTATCTGTTGACAGTAAGACATGTTTGTCGTCTCTGTATGTGTTGTCTGTGTCCTAATCAACGGATCAGATGTGGAGATGTCTTGATGTGTGTGTTGTGTCTCCGATATTACCCGCACTTGAGATCAATCGCTCAAACGATGCATTCATTCAATGATTGATTCAATTAAACACATGTTTTTTCTTCAGCCAAACGTTTCATCACTTCTCGCAAACATTTCATTCAAATTCACGTTTTGTTCACAAATTATTTGTCACTTTTGTT